CTCAAACATGCTGTTAGTACCTAATCAGCAGTCAAATCTCGGGTACTAAAGAAATGGTTACAGAACCTCAAAACGGTTGAGAACCACAGACAGACTAGTCAGTTTCTACAAAAAAAAAAAAAAAAAAAAAAAAAAAAAAAAAAACTACGTATTTTATTTAAATGAAAATAAATTATTTTGGTAAAGACTGAGCAATTTCATATTGAATCAAAAGACATAGTATAAATAAAGATAATGAATTGCATATAATTTGTCTAGGAATTAAATTGGCCATAAATATAATTTGATTATTACAGGTTGGTTAAAGAAGTAATTAATTTTATGCTGACAGGATGCTATTTTAACTCTTTATTTGCATCTAAATATTTTCAAAAACTTCAAAATATTTTAAGTGGCAAACAGCTGTTTTTGACACTTACTGACAACGTGTGATTTTAATCTTCTTCTGTATGCTAGGAGACACAGCTGCTTAAGGCTGAAATGAATCTTAAGAAAAGAATTTAAAAAGTTGTTTGTCTGGAAACAATGCACAGTATTCCATATTCATAATTCTATAGAATGAAGGGGACCAGAAGCTTTTGAAAGTAAGAATTTTGTTTCGTTTTTTTTCAAGAAAAAATGTATAACTGGAAGGAATATCTGTAACCGCACAAAAGATTTCTCGCATAATTTTGGAGAAGAAAATGCCTTAAAAATGTGAGAGGAAAATAATGCTTTATTTTACCACAGATTTATTTTACGACACTTTTCCGTTTATGTGAATAATGATGTATAATGTGCTAATACTACAGATTCTGATAAAATATATTTTCTTTAATATTATAGTAGTAATAATCGAATCACATTTCAGAAATTAAATATACACATTCTTCTATAGTTAACTGTTACAACCAGTTTATATTTAAATTTCAGTTGTTATTTTCTCTGTTAAACTAGATCTTTTGGCTTGTAAGATAGGTCCTTGTCAGTTTCTTAAGTGGAACTATCTATTAAAATTCAAAATATAATATTCTCTTCACTATAGCAGGAAATATTAATAAGTTGATGAAATAAACTTCTGATATTATCAGACGCTTGTTGGATTATTTTAACTATTTGGCAGTTCAAAGCAGACATTTTATAAATTTAGCTCTTCCTCTCTCTGTTTTCGCTTAGCTAATAAGTTAAAAGTTATTGGTTTTAATTAAAAATTTAGATAATTATCGAGTTTTGACTCTGTGTGGGATTATAAAACATCGTTGTTTCATCTAACACATAATTTCTAAATGTTTTTGAGCCTACAAATTTCCACATTATTTACCACCTACAGCTGCTTATGTATTCCAACTAGGTCACAGCTGACAACAAATGTGATTCACTTTCCTCTAATGTGTGTCACAAATTGATAGTTGGAACCCTACTTCCTTGACAAATTTTCACTTTTTTAAAACTAGTTAGGTTGTAGAGACATTAGGTAAATTGGAAGCAGAAGTGATGAAAAATGAGCAACGCCTTCACCGGGAATCGAACCGCGGACCTCTGGAATACGCGCCCAACGTGCAGACCACCACACAAAGGCATGCTAAGCAGGCGGGAGAAATACCTTATAAGGTCACCTATTCCTAAACTCACTGTAATTACTGATGTTAGGTTATTTGAATATGACAAACACATGAGGATTCTCTGCTTAGGGAAAGGAAGGTCTTAGTGGAGGACGCTTTAAGGTAAATTCGTTCGTACTCACATTACAAATGGGAAAACCACGAAAACCACCCATGTTACGAAACCACGAGCTGATAGACAGAGGGCGCTGACTAACAGCGCTCGAGCAATGCAGTTGTTTTTCAGATAAAAATAAACAGATAAGAACTGAGTAATGGAAAAAAATGGTCCTATGTGAAAACAAATGAAGAACTGTAACAAATTTTTGGTGATGTATATGTTTTATAAATAGACTGTAACAAAGTTTGTTTTAATAGCTGCACATTATTGGATTTGTGAAGATCTACCAGGGAGTCAGACACGGGCTTGGTGATAGCTTGGGAATGATAGCTTGGAGTCAGACTCAGACTTGGAGTCAGACTGAACGTAATTTCTGCATGATAATTATTACCTAACTTATATTATTTAAATTTTTAATTAAAACCAATAACTTTTAATTTATTAGCTAAGCAAAAACAGAGAGAGGAAGAGCTAAATTTATAAAATGTCTGCTTTGAACTGCCAAATTATAGTAAGTCCAAATTATAGTATTAAGTAAATTCGATTTATTAATTTGATGTTTTGTATTTTTACGTAATGTAACAAAATGGTGTCCGCGATAGGAAGCCGGGTTCAAAATTAATTACAAATTAATTTTGAACCCGGCGTCCAAAACCGGTGTTTGAACCCGTCTTTAATTCAAAATTTATTACAGTGAAATAGAGACTGGCAGGAGCATTAGACGACCGGTGCTGCCTGGTGTCATATCCAGGTGGTGCGCGGCTCTACTGGAGGGTAATAGTGGAGGTTGAACCTCCACGACGTGCCCAAAGGTAGAGTCGACCTGTAGTGAGATTGAGTTACTCGGAACAGGGAAGCCGAAACGCCATAGTGAAATAGAGACTTTTGAGTTTTTATTTTTAAGTAGAGAATATTACTGTTAAAATTTGAATGATTGATTCTATAATGAATATTTGTTGAACATTGAATTATTTATTAAGAATTTGGTTTACGGACAGTAAGAACAATACTTTTGATTTCAATTATGGAAGAACCTAAACGAATTTACAGGTTGTTTAAAAATAAATTTTACTAAGACTGCGAATAATTTAGATGAACGTTTAAAGATCGATACATTAGATTTAGATAAGATTACAGTTCTTTCCGCTCAACTTGATAATCAATGACAAAAGATAAATACTTTGCATGAACAGGTATTAAAGTTATTGAATAATAAAGATAGCAAGTGTTCTAATGAAGAATTTGAAAAAGAAATCGAAACTATTAAATCATACAATGATAAATTTATATATTTTAAAACGAAAGTAACTACACTTGGAAAGAACTTTAGTGAAAGGAAAATATTTTACCTAAAAGATAAAAATGAAGCTGTTAAAAGGAAATTTAAACTTCCTAAAATTGAATTAAGAAAGTTTAATAGAGAGGCAAAAGAAAGGTTGGGATTTTGGAGCCAGTTTAAAAAATTCATGAAGATCAGGAAATTGACCCCGAAAATAAATATCAGTATTTACTACATTGTACGGAACCTGTATCTAAAGCTAGAAACCTTGTAGAGACAAGACTTGTAAGCGGCTACGTTGTATAAATTTCGCGAAACTATAAAACGAGAGGAAGATAGTAGATATACAGTATCGCTGCCGTGATTGGAAACACATCTAACAATTTCTAATTGTCAAGAACTCTCTGAAAAAAGACTTTTGACTACTGTTCGTAAACCTGTAGCTAACGGTCACTTGAATGATTATCAAGAAGTTTTTAAGGACTGGATTCTACAAGGTATTATAGTAGAAGTTCCACTGCAAAATCAAGTCGGACTCTATTTACCGCATCATCCAGTAACAAAGCATTCTTCAACTACTAAAATCAGATCAGAAAAGGGTCCCAATCTGTTAGAACTGATACCTTCTATACTTTTACGATTTCGATTGAAAAGATACGAAGTAACAGCTGATATGCGTCAAGCCTTTTTGCAGATAAATTTGAATCCCCAAGATAGAGATTATTCGAGGTTCTTGGGGTATGAAGATGGCGATCCAAATAACTTAGTGATCTATAGACATTGCAGAGTACCATTTTGAGTAACACCAAGCCCTTTTTTATTAGGTGCTACAATAGCATATCGCTTGCATAATGTGGAGGATAAAACTCAAGAAAGGGCCAGGAAATTGAAAGAATCATTTTACGTCGATAACTGCGTGACCAGTTTCGACAGTTTTGAAGAAGTTGGAAAAACGGATAATGTCAGATGCTAAACTAGAGCTTCGGGACTGGCAGTACAATACACCTGAAAAAGAAACCTGGATTAATCCTTAAAAACGTAACCTTCATTAAAGGTAAGCGAAACTACAACAAATTGTATTTATGTATTGGGACTTGTATGGGACGTAAAGAAACTCTCATTTGTGACAGAAAAAAAATTTCTGCTCAAGAAGTACCATTAGTAACGAAAAGAAAAATTTTATCCTTAGCACAAGCGATTTTCAACCCGATTGGATTATCTTTTTCTTTCATACTGCTAAATTATTAAAAGTTATTATTACAAGAATGTTGCAGATCAAACCTCTCGTGGGACCAAGAAGTGTCAGAGTAGATTTCGAAGAAGTTTAATTTATGGCATATTCAAATTCTTGAATTGAATGGTATTAAAATTCCTCGTTGGATTGCGAAACGCTCTCAAATTTATGAATCTGATAAATGGAGTCTACGTATTCTATGATGCCAGCAAAATGGCCTATGCAACATACATATTTATTAGAATAGAAAATAATGAAGGCGTACATTGTCAGTTAGTGCAAGCTAAGTCCAGAATAGATCCAATGAGGGTGACAACAATACCTCGCTTAGAATTATTAGCTTGCCTAATTGGTGCTCGACTAACTGCAGTGGTAAGAAGAGACTTACATCTAACGGATATTAAAACATCTTACTAGACAGATTCCAGCAATGCTCTTTGTTGTATTAAACGAGAAGCTGTTTGGGCTACATTCGTGGCCAATAAAGTGAACGAAATTAGAAAACTAAGTAGCATAAAGGATTGGTATCACATTCCAGGTTCACTGAACCCAGCAGATATAGCTTCAAGAGGATGTACAGTACGACAATTAGTGAAGGCTCAGTGGTGGAACGGTCCAGAAATGCTGAAGAATAACTTAAGGATCGACACTTATTATGAACTAGTGCAAACTGACGAATCTGTAATAAATTCGGAGATCAGAAAATGTGCCATAACAGCTACTAACGTTATAAATACTAGGGATTTATTCTAAAACAGATATTCTTCATATAAAAAGATAGTAAGGATGATAGCTTGGATAAAACGATTCGGCAAAAGTGCCAGAAATTTACCTAAAGATCGTATTTTCGGTAACATTACTTTTTCAGAATATGCAGAAGCAGAAAATATTCTTTTAAAATTAATCCAAGAAGAAAGTTTTGAACCTCATGAAGACAAAAAAATCGAATCATTGCAACATTTTGTGGATGAGAAAGAACTGATGCGAACTACGACAAACATCCCTCGGAGAAACGACAGTGGAAATTTTCGATCTCCGATAATTCTTCCTCCCAACGATGTTATAACCAACCTGTTAAACAAGGAAAAACACGAGGAAACTTCCCATGCAGGTATTCAAGCCTTAATGTCAATTCTGAGAGGACAATTTTAGATTCTCAAATTTCGGCGTACAGTTCGTCATGTAATAAAGAACTGTGGTTGCTGTAGACGATTTAAAGTAACCAATTTTGACGTAAACCCCATACCATTACCAGAGAAGAAAGCAACAGACTCTGCAGTTTCCCAGATTACGGGTGTCGATTTAGCTGAACCCATATACCTTCGAGGCCAGAAGAAGGCATGGATAGTGATATTTACATGCGCTTTTTATCGAGCAATACACATTGAAATTGTTGCTATTATATCCACAGAAGCATTTATGCAAAGCCTGAGAAAATTCATACCTCGGAGAGAACGACCAAGTATTACATCAGCATGGTGGGCAGGATGGTGAGAAAGACAGATTAAAATTATAAAGGACATGTTGAAAAGTATTTTAGGCAGGACAAGCCTAGATTACGAAGAATTACTCACTGTGTTATATGAAGTTGAAAATGTTGTCAATTCCCGTCCTTTGACATACATATCGAAAGGCTTTCAAGATTTAGCCTTTAAATCCAAATATGTTTTAAGGGACAATGTAGAATATTCTACAATTGTATTTGATCACATAAATGGAACAGAGCTGAATAAGCGTTGGCAGTATCGCCAGAAACTCAGAGAAGATTTAAGAAAAAGATTCAGAGCTGAATACATAGGACAACTTAAAAATTCTAAGAAAGCCGGTAAAGTCAAGGGACAAATAAAGTTAGGAGAAATAGTTTTGGTTGGGAATGAAAACAGCAAACGGATTGATTGGCAACTAGGAAGAATAATTAAGCTGTATCCACGGAAGGATGGACATGTTCGTGTTGTTCAAGTAAAAATAAGGAACGGTGACATAGTAAGACCTGTGCAGAATATTTATCCCTTAGAAATGGATAAGGCAAACGAAATAACGGTTTGCAGTCTATTCCCGATGGAAGAGTCAACGCAGACCTGAAATCTCCACCAGTTATTTCCAGAAGGGCGCGAATAATACATAAATCTGAAATGAAATAGCACCCCAGACCATCACTCCCGGTTGTCGGCCTGTCTGCCGGAAGACAGTCAGGTTGGTATCACATTGCTGTCCGGGGCGTCTCCAGACTCGCCTTCGCTGGTCATCGGGGCTCAGTTCAAAGCGGGACTCATCACTTAAAACTATTCTACTCCAATCAGTGACATTCCAGTGCGAATGAGCCCGACACCACTGCAAACTGGCTTGACGTTGTACAGAGGTTAATGGTAGTCGGCGCAGGGGGCGCCGTGACCCCAGTCCCCTTTCCATGCGCCGTCTATGAATAGTCCTTGCGGTCACTGAAGCACTTTGCACGTACAATCAATGATAATGATGCATCTGAAGCTGTGAGTGCGGCTCTGACGATTACTCGGTCTTCACGTTCTGTCGTTTCTGTAGGCCTACCGCTTCCTTCTTGACGCTGTGTGCGGCCATGGTTCACCCATTCTTGCCAGCATCGTCTAATAGTGGCATCGCTCCTGCTCAAATGTCGAGCTATTCACCGATAAGACCAATCGGCTTCTTTGAGGCCAACTACATGACCTTTCTCAAATTCCGGCATCTGCGCATATCGTTCGCGCACCTGTATGCGAGGCACAGTTACTATCTACCAGAGTACAAGGAATTAAATTCGTGAGGAATTTATGACCTGGAATCATAATGCTCTTCCTGCCAATTGCGCAGATCAGATGCGCTGTAGCGACAACCAATCATTGGCCGCCAAAATGTAAAATTTTGCGTTTTCCGTCGAAACCTGTATGCATATCAATTTGTGTCCAATTTGCTTTATATCTTCTCGGTGCGTCGTGGTGCCTAGATTTTTTTTTTTTTTTTTTTTTTATTGTGTGTGTGTGTGTCTAAGAGTGTATATTGACAGCTAAATATTAAATTCTTAGATTGATATTTCTTTCGAAAGGTTTTTAACATGGTTATATAAGATATGCTAAGTTAGACTAACTTTAATTACATGTTAACATCTAGACTAATTTTAATTTTAACTAAAAATAAAGAAATCTCGAAAATTTTATTTTATTTCAGAAAAAATTATCAAATTATCTCATTTAAAATAGAAAATATTTCTTTTTTAAATGGGAAAAAACGTAGAAATAAATAATAACAACCTAATATTTTTCTTAATTATTAAATCTTTCTTCGACGCTTAAAGACACGTATGATTATATAAGGAATCATCATAAATTTATTTTTTCTCACTATAGCTTGGCACTTCGGACTAAATCTATAATAAACTATAATGATTATAATATAATACAGAATAAGCTTATGAATCATAAAGCGTATAAATCATAACGCTTTATGACGTTATGATTCTAATAAAGTTTGTGGCCTTACACAGGCGTTACTAGAAATTACCTTCACCACAGATCATAGACGCTCATCGGTCAGTCGGGTTCTTTTCTTACTAATTCTCAAATCTGAGAAAAATCTGTTCACATATAAATGTATTCTTAAATGAAAAAATCTGTAAAAATTCATAACTGAGCTTATATTTTTTCCATAAGTAGGAATAATCGTTAATAAAATCTGTATCTTCAGATATTTGAATAAGATTTATATATACATAGATATATTATATCTAATCTTGAATAAGATTTATATCTATCATTATAACTTAATTAGGTTCATTCATACGTTTTCTTGTATGCTGTTGATGTTCGTTTTTAATGGAAGTAAAAATGATGGCTCGGACGTCAAGTAACTAAAATCTTGAAATCTTTGAAGTATCGTATTTGCAACAAACACGTAATTGAAACGTGTTCGTCGAGCACATATAATTGCTTCAAGTCCGGGAGCTGCTAGTTTAAAACCATTGTTGTATAGCATTGAAATAAATGTCAAAGTTGGATAATTGTCTTTGAATGTTTGCTTCTAATATCGCAAAAGGTCATCATAATTAGTGTATCAATTTCTTTGAAGATGTTGACGTATTCGAGAGGATTTTCAGAGAGTTTGCGACGCATAATACGAGTAATAACCAACAAATGCACGAATGTTTTTTTAATGTTATTTTCATTGTAATTGGTGTATTACGTTTCACATATGAATGATTGTAATATAGTGAGTTATTTAATAATAGATAAATATTGCATTATAATTTCTTCAAAACTAATTGCGAAATTTTTCTACTTATAGATACAAACTTGAATTTTGAATCATAGGACACTAGCACAAATTTCTAAACAAGATATGTTAATTTATTGTGAAAAATGACAATCATTATAGTCTTAAGTCTTAAACTTATTCATTATAGTTTTAAAACAGAGTTTTTATATAATACAAAACTTATTATGTTGGATCTTATTTCCTTGTTTCTAGGCATATTTCTACCTTTGAAGGGAAGGATCAATCAAAGTGTAAATTTCACTCGTTAAAGGATTATATAATTTAATTAATATTAAGAAACATTTGCTAGACTTCTGTGATCTGAAATTTAAACGCTTAGCAACAAATAATTCCCATATCGAAAGATCCTTTTTCCAAAGGAGAAAATCGGGATACATGAAATGTGGTTTTACAAAATGAAGAATTCCAAAATTAAATGGCAGTCCTAGTGTAGCAGCTCTGAAAATATTGCTATAATTTTATGGGTTTATCAAGGTAAGTATCAATTTAAGGAATACGTAATGTAATATGCATTAGCAACCTACTATTTTTGTTTGCATCACCGTTGTATGTATGTAATGATTAACATTAGCATTAACATAATTTTTAAAGCATCAACATAATTTCTCTGGTAGGAAGGTTTCGCGATATTTTAAACCTCAAATTAATTGGTAGTGGACTTTCTAAGCTTCGACATTTTATTGAATTTTCATAGTTTACCTTAAAGTTGCTTTTCAGATTTCGTCTTTTGTTCGCAAATATATATATATATATATTTCCGTAACAGTAATAGTAAATTTGGCTGAAGTTTAATAATTCAATGGAAAAATAACTTCGACCTATGTTGGTCATTTATCATTAATGCTATGAATACTATTACGCGTATTGTTATAATAGATGGAGTGTTGCGGTGTTAAATGTAAAAAGGAACTAGAATTAAGTGTAGTGAATTAGAATTACTTGAGCACCAAAAATAGTCACTTGGCGTTTTGAATCAAAGGGTTAGCAAATGTAAATCAAATTAATTGCTTACTCAGTAAATCGCGTTGTGTAGCAATAACCCATAAATATTGACGTGCAGATCAAAATGTGTGATCTAGAAGGAAATATGCTATCAAAGTACTTACCCCAAAGTATGACAACTGTATGTTACCAAATCAATTATATTTTATTCTTCATCTTTGATATTAAAATAAGCATTAATATAAATAAAATTATCAACCTGATAGACGAATAAATTTGAACATCAAGCACGAGTGATGCGCATCACAAGAATTAAAGTTGCACTCAGAATAAATCAATCTTTCTCCATCAGCTCGACACAAAGTCTTGGTGTAAAAGGAGCAATCAAATTTTGATGGCAGTCATTAAGCGTACTTGATTAATCATGGTATTTCTGATTTTTTCTCTTTAAATCAGGAAGTTTCAGATCTCACAAACACGTGCGCGCGAAGAGTTCTCAAGAGGAGGACGAAGCTGAACAAAAATTATTTTCTGCAACGATGTACAGGAAATAGGAGTAATTATTTTCTTGAGTCTTCATGTAAAAATCTCACTAAAAAGGATTTTCATGTATAGCAGACAGCATCGAAGGAACAGCAAAGAGAAGCAGAAAAAATGGCACATCGCATCGGCCAGGGAGAGGACAGACCGAAGCCCGTCCTACACCCTCGAATGCCAGCAGCAGAAGAGCGAGAAACCGGTTGTTGCAATCTTTTCGTATTGTCCTTGAGCGGTTGCGATTAGCACATCTGACGCTGAATAGTGTGCTGAATCTGTAACGAATATATGTATATTCGTTGCAGTGCGAAAGTACGACAGCGCATAGAACTACCTATTTAATACACATAGTCTTGCACTCGGACATGGATTCTTCGAAGACAGAATTTTGC